CCATTAAGTAGATGAAAAGCTTGAAAGGTCTTTTACCCTAGTTGACTCCTCCATTTTCAAGAATAATAGCATTGTGATTTAATACTAACTTAGGTAGGAGAGACAGAGTAATTTCAGGGAAAGCTGTCACGAAATTAACATCCACCAAGAACCTATCCAGTCTAACAAAAGTTGGAGACTCCCTATTATTTCACCATGTTGAAATTCCCCGAGTTAAGGGAAGATCTATTAGGCCAGCTTGATGAATAAAATACCTAAAAATCTCCATTGAATTCCAGTTTTGGGCATTTTCTTTCTTATATTCTTCTGTTAAATACACATTGAAGTCCCCTCCAACACATAAGGGTGTCCTTTGACTGTCCAGATAAGAACATAGCTCCTCAAAAAAGATTGCTTTCTCATCCTCCATGGATGACCCATGTACATTGATAAGGTCACAACTAAGTTGATTCACTCTGTTGACAAAATGCTCTTTAACTGCAAAAATGCTTTCATCCTAACAACTCAAAAGACCTCCTGACGAGCCTTCAGCTGGCGATTCTACGAACCCCTGAAGATTATTCAACATGTTCCTTCTTAAGAATGATTTTGGAAAAATTTTCACTTTGGTTTCTTGTAGAAAAAGAAAATACATATTCTTCTTGGAAACCAATTTTTGTATTGTGCATTGTTTATCCTTTCTTTCCAAGCCCCTTACATTCCAGGTAATGATAGATAACTTTGGCATAATAGCAAAATAAGTGTAGAACCTATTATCAAACAACATGGCATCCACCTTACCTAGCCACTCCCGTTCCTTTCTCTAGGCTAATTATTTTTTCCAGAAAGGACTTCTTCCCATCCTTGAAGGAGACACCCAACAACTTACTTATTTCCCAAGTAGCCAAAGCTTCCTCCAAAAACACTGAGAAAAATGAGGAAGAAATAATAGAAATGATGACCTCATCTAGCCCATCCCTTATCAGAGTTCTTATGTTCCTCCTATTAACTTTCCCATTATCATTGTCAGAGCTACAGCTTACCGAAGGATATCCTTCATAGGAATTTATTTGTGTTCGATTCTCTGTCTGGCTTTGCGGATTACTGTCATCGTTTCCATCTCTAACAATTCCAACCTCTGGGTCTACTGTAGAAAAGTGTTGACCCAAACATAAAACCAATGCCTTCTCCCCTTGTTCAACATGATCCCCCTCATTTACAGAGTCTATACCCTGCTCCATACGAAGCCAAATCCTCCTCTACCTAGATTTGCTATATACTCTGTTAAAAAATCGTTCCTCCTCCTCCCGTTCGGGGAGCTCTTAATAGATAAGCTGCTTGATGAAAGGTACGACAACCTCCCCCTTAAGAAAGCTCTTGATCGATTCTCTAAATTTCTTCAGTTGTCCCTCTATTCAAGAATTCCACTATAAGAACCCCTTTTTCAGCAACTAATCCTCCCTCACATGATGTTTTCCCACAGTTGACTTTGCCCACATTATTCCTCTAACTGTCAAACCAGTAACTGGCTATATCAACTACTGGCCCAAAAGGTATAATTTTTAAAACAAGGGAACCGGGCTCACTGTTTTCCTCTGATTGGGCCTGAGAGTTAGTATCTGAATGTGCCAAATTCCTGATGCCCAGCCTCAGATACTCCCTAGCAGCACTTCTCCCAAAAATGAGGAGATCTAACACCCTATTATTGATGTGGTCCCCATCTCTACTTCTCATTGATGATTATTGTCCCCCACCATTTCCTTCCAAACCCTCCCTATTCAATCTACATGTCCACCCTTTGCAGTGCATCCTCGATTGACTGTTCAAGTCCTTCTTCCTCTACTGTCATTCGGCTATCAACGTCCTCCTCCGACGAAGCTTCCTCGTTCAAACGATCATCAGAATCTCTCTCTGAAGTCTTACTTAGAAAGACGCTCGAAATATTAGACACCAATCCCAGCTTGATACTCACCTTAAAGGACCTGCCATACGACCCTACATTGATCACCTTCGGAACGTCAAAGGGACTCGCCACCTTAACCAGTAATTTCATCGTCGATAAATCCTCCCTATTTCTTATCGATTTCTGCATGCAAACCACCATCCCCCACCTCCCAACCAGCCTTTCCAGAAATGATTCTTGTCAGTATAAAAGAGGGACATTGTATAACTCAACCAGACGTAAAGCAATTGGAACTCCGACTTCATTCGGTAAGGGTGCCAACCAATCAAACCAGAACATTAACTTATCTTTCTTATTCATCCATGCCTCCGAAAGTTTTTCGGTCGGCTTGAAAGTAATGATGCAAGAGTTCCAAACATAACCCCAACTAGCAATCATAACTTCATAACCCTCATTAGCCAGAGCCTTCTGCACTAAATCCATCTCAAATGAGTGTTTGACAATCCCCGTTGGTGAACGTTTCATCCAGCTTGAACTCTCATAAGGGATATGCATCTCCTAGACGTTCATCGTCCCTATCACTGTTTCCTTATTGCCATTCATGTTCACCCTATATTCCAAATCACCCCGCTGCCTTCTGTCCATCATCAATGCTTCTTTATAAGATCTATCATCCCTTATGCTCATCGGAATCTCAGTTTTCTCTTTGAACTTTCTTCTTTCTTCTATATTAGGCCTTGAAGCATCAGCCATTATTCTTTCTGTCCCCACTACCCTTGATCGAGCGTTCTGATATTTTACGGCTCCCACTGATACTTTCCTCCCATCTATCAACGATCCATTGACATTCTCGATAGCCTTCCTAAGACCTGCCTCATTGGCAAACTGTACAAAAGCAAAAGTGGAGGTTTTGTATTTTGGTTTATTCATTACGCTTGGGATGAAGACTCTCACTACAGGACCCTAAAAGAGGAAAAGTTCCCTTAACGCTCGTCTTGAAACTCTCTTGCTCAGATTATCAACGAAAGTTGTCCAAACCTCACCGGTGAAGGACTGACTTTTCGAATTCTCTCTCTCTCCACCTCTGCCTGTCTCACTCATCTTATAATCCTTAACAGTTGAATTTATGAATATCATTGTACTTATTATGCATGTAAATTTTCGAATCAATTTGATATTTTTTGTCATATCGATCCAAAGTAATGTCTTTATTAATATGTATTTCACAGTTGAAAAGTTTTTAAATAAAATAAATACTTATATATTTTTAATTTACACAAAACTTGGCATGCATGATCTACGTGAATAGAACATGAAATTCAATAGTAGGTAAAACGTGATGGCAAAAAATAGAAAAACGATAATAGTTTGGTGACCAATAAGGTAGTTTACCTTTCAAATTTCATTGTGCGTGATTAAACATGGTTTTCTATCATCTACGTTCATTTGCATTTTGGGCAATGCCGTCTAACAATGACGCACTACTTTTGCAGGGTGACAAGGATATTATCAAATTCGAGGGAGATCACAACTCTCCTCGTCCTCAGTTTTACTTTGATTCCATAAATATCTTTTTTCACAATGTCCTGCAACCTCCTGAGGATGAGGAAGGGGCAACTTTTTATGATTTTGGCAAGGTAAGCTGTGCTCTAAAAATATCTATGGTGGTAGTCGTTTTATTACAAGTCCCTGATGCCGTCATACCCACAATTCTTGCTTAATTCATAACTGATTTACATTCAGGCTAGTTGGGCCGTCCCTGAAGTTGGCTTTTTTTTCCTCCAGATTCTTCAGCTGCATCTAAAGGTACTACCAGTACCTTGTATTTATTCCCCCAAATGCCAAGTTTTGCTGCTCCTGTTAATGGTATTATCTTACACTGTCTCACTGGTTTCCAGAAACAAGCAGACCATCGGATGCCATTAAACATGTTCGTTCGAAAAGACCTATGAGTCGAACAGAGGTTCGTTCTAATTGCTTTTTTTCCCCTCAAGAATGACTTGTAAATATTTTTCTTCAAACATTCATCTTAAATTGACTGCATTTAAAGGGGGTAATGTAACTAATGAAAATCTGGAAGCACTTGTGGATGAACCACTAATTATTCTGCTTTATATTTTGAAACAACCATATAAACATAGGGAAATATAAACGAAACGAAAAGATAAGCAATATCATGAATTCGAAATCATTGTAAACAGTTCTGTCCTTCCATTGTTGTTTTGGTTTGTCGTATAAATTTAAAAGGAAATGCAAGGTTGTTATGATTGTTGGGTTTTTTTAATTAATTGTGTATAATATTTGCAGCATTGATTATACTCAGGTTCCTTCTGATATACCATCTGAAGAAAATAACCCAGGATGTCAGGTCTTTTCTTCCGCTTTTGACTTTGTGGAATGCATAGCCAAAAAAAAAAAAAATATTTCCGAATTTTACAAATGGATGCCGTACGAATGACAACTTGTAATTGACAGTGGCACTAGGATTTTTTAAAAATTGACAAACGATGCCGAAGATAAAGGCGTTCCATGTTACTGATACTAAATAGTATTGTTCGTCGCCGTCTGATATGATAAGTTTTGAATTATCCAATGCTTCTCCACTTGGCCCTCATGTAATGGACGATCAGTTTGTGGAATATGAACTGGATGACTTCACAGGCTTTCCATGTAATGTGGAGGAAGAAGAGAGGGTGAGTTGAAACATTCATCTTTCGCTTCTTGCAGAACAATTCATGGCTATTTAATCGACCCTAATCCTTTGCGAACTTTTCCTTGATGGTTTCAGATGTTTATGTAAGCCATAATTGAGTCCTTAAGAGACTTGGATATGCCACAACCTCAGACAGAAGAGCAGCCCAAGATTTGTGCTGATTCTTCGGAGTCTTCTGGAAAGTTGAAATAAACGGAAGGGATACTTGTTCGACTGCAGAAAAGGGCGGTTCTGTGCCCCTGGAGTCCACTGCCACCCAAGTGGAACATCATCTATCCACCTTAGTCGTCAACGGCTCCGATTTCATCTTTGGGACATGCATTCGATACACCTCCATCGACCTAGGAATCAGGGAGCACAAGTAGTGATACCTCAGCTAGTACCCAAAATTCATCTGAACCGGACATGTCAGGTAGCACAAAAGCTACTGTAACAGTCGTACGGAACCCCTCTAATAACGTCATGGATGGTTTGAAGCATCTCTGGGATGTCAACTTCTTTCGAAACAGTCGATGAAAGTTAAGATGACCTTGTATGAATAGCCTGATGATTGTATTATTCTTGTAACTAAGTATATTATTCGTATTTTTGTAAGGAAAAAAGGAAATCTTTATGTGCTAAGAAATTTGGTTTAGTTGTCATTGGCTTTCATTGTCTATTGTTGAAAAAGATGTCAGTTTTTTTGCGCAATTAGGGAGTTTTATGGCAATACGTGTTACCAGAAATTCTTCGATTTGCTCTGTATTATACGGTGGATAATATACAGATAAAATAAGTAGTTAGAATTTTTTTTTACTACCCTCCCGTTCCAATGTTTCGTATTGATTAATTCGAATCGACTCGATTCGCAACCTGGCTTTGGTGGGTGAGTCTCCCGACATAGATTTTTTGCATACACAAGGAATCGAACTTGAGATCTTTCTTAAGAGATATCAAGTTGATTATTTAGTCTCTATATCCCATGTTCAACAAGCAAAAATTAATTGAATTTTAGCTTTAATTTCTTTCAATGAGTTAATTACATCCTTATCTTTCCTCGTTTATTTTCACTTAAAAAAATCCTTTTTTATTGCTAATCTGGCCTAATCTTCATCCGACCAAAATTCATTCTTCACCCAACGAGTTCAATCAAATCTACAAATTGATCCATCTATGGCTCGTGTCAATATTCAAATATTGACTCAAAATTTTGGGTCGGTACAACTCTCCTCACATCATTTTACTAGATTTAGATATAAAAGGTTAAGCTAATATATCATACTATTAGATTCTCATGAAGGTCTTTCATCTCTTGAACCCATGGTATTCTTAAGCCTCTGCAAGCCATAAATCTTTTGGTTTCATCCTTAATACCAAATTCAACTTGGCACTATAGTATGAACCAAGTGACCTTAATGGTAAACGAATTATTGTTATTCTTTAAAGTCTTAGGTTTAAACACCATGAATGCTAGGGGTTTGAATGTTTCATATCAAATGGTTAAGAGTTATTTTTAAACAAATGTTGCTTTGTACTTACCCAAATTAATAATAATAATAATAAATAAATAATTCGACACTATAAAGGTAATAACATGAAACCAATTAAAAGAATGCTCACAAGGCAAGGAAGCAAGAAAACATAACACAAGTCACCCCTTTTAAACATGTCTTACTAGCCATAGCTGACATTAGGCACTAAGCTTTGATATCAAATACAGAGTGAAGTATTTACTTGATGGCCCAAAGTTTCAAACAATCATGGCTTTTCAAACAACTTGGAAATACAATGAGATTTATGAACTTGATACCAAATTCTAGGGTTCAAATTTGGTCATTTCTAATTGTGAGGTTTTAGCCGATATAGGCAGTTTTATAAAGTTAAAAGTTCACACTTACAAAATTATAAAATAATCTCCCAAGATTTTATCCAAATCATATTTGATTTAATATACACTAAGGTATCATCTGTCAACTGACCATAGTTGAGAGGAACAATAAATAATTAGGACATAGACCAACTCATTTTATAGGTGAGAGGGGCAATGAACTCCAAACTTTGATAGTCCAATTACCTTTTAATTTATTTGTAGTTTTAAAGCCATTACTATTAAGCCCTTGTCCCCCAGAATTTGTTGGTATAATTGTTTTTAGGACATTTCAGTTTTAAAATTAATGAAATTAAGCCTAACTCTAAATTTTCTAGTTTAATCATTTTTAAGACCTTTAAATTTAAAATTAGTGAAATTGAACCCTTAATTTCTTAATTTTATAGTTTAATTACTTTTTAAGATATTATTTGTTTTAAATTAAACAACTTATCTCCCTCATACTTTAATCCTCACTCGTCTTTGTTTGTGAACTTTGTGAATACTCCTAATAAAATCCCTTAATCTCAAAGGCAAAAGTAGGAATCCTCAACCAACAGTAATTCTACCAACAGTATTTGAGCGTTCATTATTAAATGATTGAGAGTTTTTAGAACAAATACTACCACTTCTAATCACCCTTGCTTAATAAAAAAAGTCATCAACTCAAATAACACATACTCATCTTTTTTTCCCAACGGCTAGATCAGGGACAGATGTATTTGGTATATGAGAGGGGCTGTAGCCCCAACCTCGCAAAAAAAAAATGTTTAATTCATATATATATGTATATATATATTGAATATTTATGAGATAATTATAAATTACTTCCTAATTTGAAAAAATATTATACTTTACACCTCTCAAGCGGAGATCTAACTTCATCCTTGAGCTAGATCAACCATCATGAAATCAAATAATAATAATAATTATCATCATCATCATCATGCTAAAATTTCAACTTCATCACATATTTCACCTAATATGTCAAATTAAAATAGATGGACTAAATGTTAGAAACATTATATGAAACCAAACCTAATCAAAACCTATGTAGAAGTATTATCATTTAAGGAGAACATCGTTCCCTCTTAATAATGAGACTCATCGGTGTAAAAAAGAAAGACATGAGAGATGTTGCAAATAGACAACAACAACCTGACTCAATACTCTTTCTTTATTTGTAGGGCAGGAAAAGTTTATTCCAATATGGTTGCATAATCCAAAGTTTTGCCCTTTGGCTTTAATTAACAAAAATTTTAATCGTATACATATTCTTTTTCCCTTTTTTGAAGCAGCCCTCGAATAAGGTTTAGGAATATAACCCATTTCTTTGAATTGAAGAAGCTTTGTTTCCATATAATTTATAAGGAAAAAAAGTGTAATGCATTATTATTTTCATGCTTAAAAAAAAGGTTGTTGGTTATATATATTTAGTCATCTTTGTCTCATTTGCTTTACAACAATTGTGTTCTGCGTTGATCAAAAGTTTTGAGCCATGGCTTCCAAGTCAGCTGCAACAATGCTTTTTTGTTCCTCAATCTGGGGCTTTATATCATTGTAACAATAGTGGCTGCATGGGCAGTGAATCATGCAATCGAAAGAACTCATGAAATAGGTAATTCAAAATTGATTCATTGCTTTTCAACATCATGAAATTTGATTTGTTAAACAAATGTTACATGCGTAACGGGAATGAATGAACAAATGAATGCGATGCACTTTTGCAGCATCTGTTTTATCAATCCCGTCTCGTATATTTCCCATATTCTTTCCGATGGGAAACATGGCCACCGGTTTCTTCGTCGTTTTCTCTCTCGTCGCCGGCATTGTGGGTGTCTCTACCTCAGTTACCGGTCTCACCAATGTCCTTCAATGGGATTCTCCAAATTTAAATGCAGCAGCTCCTTCAACGGGATTCTCCTAATTTAAATGCAGCAGCTCCTTCAATGGGATTCTCCTAATTTAAATGCAGCAGCTGCTTCATCCCTCCTCACTTGGGCACTCACGTTGCTAGCCAGCCATGGGGTAAGTGTTCAGTTCAACAAAATCTAATCCTTTTTTTTCCTTTCATTTTACTTAAACATGGGTTCAACAATTTAAATTGTGGTTGTGGACATATTTTGTCTTGGTATATTTATCGCGGTTCCAGATATAACGAATGTTATTACGGATATCGCAGTGAATTTTTTTAAAGGAGTTGATTTTTTTAAAGGAGGAAATTTTTTAAAATAGAATAACAGAATAATTGTGGGAATAGCGGCCCGCTATTGTCGCAATTGGCAGTTACCTACTAAATTGCGGCCACGATCTATTATTATTGGTGTGATTCCACTTCACACTGCTGTTTTCAGTAATAATGATTTCGGACACCGTTACTAGCACTATATAATGGTCGCTATTCCACTATCTTACTGCAATTTTCACATTGGCTGGACAGATGCCAATTTGGTAAGCCAAAATTGTACTTTTAATGCAAACCGGAGATATTTTCTTTGTATGGTCTATTTTCATCCTCTTAAAATTTTATAAATTCATTCCCTAACATAAAATCCCGTATCCATCCCTGAATGCGGCAGACTTTGGACGTGCTGACGATAATTGTGAGCGGTAGGCAGCTGTTTTGCACGGGTGCTATCCATGCTGGGGCTGAAGATGCTGCTCTAAACAGAATGCCATCTACTTCTGCTGGAACTGTTTGAATCAACTGTATAACCAAAACTGCTGACAAATTATGATAACTCCACTGAATTTCCAACTTGAGTGTTTCAAATACAAAGTTAATTAAAATCTTCTGAAATTTCGTTTTTCTTTATATAGTTCTCTTTTATAAACACTATAAACATGTGTTCCTACAACATATGACTAGATTACTTGTTTCTTTCACCTCCTATTATCATTAGAGAGAATAGTAATGAGATATGACAAAAACTTTATCATCTGGATAAACATATGTTCAACACAAGTCCAAAATTCTTGAAATTCTTTTTATATTTAAAGGATTTCGCCTCATGTCTAAATATGTATCGGACTATTTGCAACATTTCTCATGTCTTTCTTTTTATACCAACGAGTCTCATTATTGTGAAGGATACCGATTCCAAGTGCCGGCGCTGGATATACGGTGCCTTATTCCAGTAAAAATTGGAATTCAGTATTGTCAGCAAGTTCAATGGTGGGTTTTACTTCTGCAAATTCTTGTATTTTCATGGAATCAGTGATGTCCTCCACTAAGAAAGGAATGCTGCATTCAAATAGGATAAGATATAATTAGGGCCCTCAAATTTCAATAGTAAAAGAACTTTAATGAACTCATGTTTTTGGTATCTTACCTAGAATCCTCGTCCAACAAAAAGGAGCTGCCATCATCATTTTCAGGGTCAGCTGTTATAAGAAGTTTCATTTGGGAAATGACCTGAGCAAGAATGAAGTGATTTTATTAGCATAATGGGGTGTAAAATGTGCATTTTTCACTTAATTTGATCTGGCAGACTTACATCTGATGAAACGCCTTCATTGTTGTTGCCTTCATTGTAAAGGGTGCATACTTTATAAAATTGTTGAGCACTCAGAATCTGGTGAATTAGGACACACGATAATGTTAGAGAAGCCAGAGCAATATTGATGCATATATAAAGCATAGTTTTGAAATGGCAGTGTCAATGTTTGACTAAATATTCACTTTGACCCCTATTCTTTTTCTTTTTTGAGCATTTTGGATCCCAACGTTTCATTTTAGGATAAAAAGACCCATCTATGTATGGAAACCATTAGTTAACAAATAGTTAACACTCCAAAATAGGGGCCTTTTACCCTAAAATAAAAATTTTGGGAGCCAAAATGGTCTACAAAAATGGAAGGGCCAAAGTCAATATTCACTCAAATGTTAGGGGCCTTTTTTTCCTAAAATAATATGTTGGGGGTCAAAATGTTAAAAAAAAGAATATGAGTCAAAATGACGATATTAGTAAACGTTATGAGCTAATTTTAGTGTTATGCCTTTTGAAATTCCAAAGAATGAGATAAACAGACTTACGGTGCAAAGGTTATTTGTTATTTCATCATACGATATTTTCGACTTCTCAGGCATAATCTGACAATACAATATAAAAGTGCACTTGTTCAAATTGGAGAAATGAACGAAAACTGAGTAATAACAAAATCAGCATGAACTAAGAGCAAGGAATGGTAGGTACCAGAACTAACAAAATATTTGCAAATAGAAATCAACAAAATAATTGTTATAGGTCTCGAGATAACCAACAAGATTCAAAAAGATCCAAGAGACCAACAGTTTCTTTAAAACTCAATCAACATATAAAATTTCAAGGTTTTATATCCCAAAATAGATAGTATATAATTGTTTGATAATGTTATCATGTGTGTGTTTGAGTTGTGGTGGACATTTATATATCGGATAATATCGTGTATACATATCAGATGATAGTCTGCACATATCATATATGAGTTATAATTTTGTAGGATGTTAGTTACAGACAAGTTTTCCTTGTTTGATAAATTGCGTATATAGGAGAGTGTAGATTTAAACTAAGGTGTGGTGAACTTATTCTTGATTACTGCACTATGAGCCCCAGCATATTCATTCACACTAGTTTTTTTAATCCCATATTTGCCAAGCCTTGAAATCTAAGAACAGACTATCTGTTGTTGATTCCACAATGTACAAATGGAAATTCCTTTATTTTAAAGTTGAGAAGAGATTTAGGGTAGTTTATATCCTACGAAAGCCATAACTTCAACTAAACATAACGAATTAAATTGGCATGACTAGTGAAGGAAGGAAAAAGCAGAACAAGGATTGAACAGTATTAAGCAATCTCATAATTACCCTGTGGTGATTAATTACCAGGCACAGAAGATACTTTTATAATATATGTATGTATGTATGTATGTATGTATGTATGTATATAAAACAGAATCAAATGAGACTGACATGTAAAAATGGATCAAACCCCGAGTAGAAGTAATTTGATGCAACAAAATTCTAGCCTAGTAATATGAACAACCGAAGAAACATACCAAGAATCCAACTGCTTGCCTTGTGTGCTTAAGTTCATCCCATGATGAGCCGGCATACTGTAGGTTGAGGAATCACCAAAGACAACCATGAAATCTTAAATTTGAAATTTAAATGCAATAAGGTGTAACAAGTCCCAACTAAAAACTTCTAGTTGGTGGCTTGTTTGAACTTCAAGTCATTAGTCAGAACTAAAGAAATTACCTCTTCTTTTGTTTCGGCACACCATTTTTCCAATTCATCTAAGCCAGACTTCAGATATTCCCCATTGCTAACTGTGCAGCACTCTGGATGCCGAAGAAGGCTGTATCATAACATCAATATTTGTAAGTAACACTTATTATCTCCAATAACAGAAAATAGATATGAAATAGTGATTTACCTATTAAAGAGCTGTACATTCATATATGCAAAATTTTGAGTGAAAATCTTCTGAGCAAGTATTGGGGGCACCTAGAAAGAAACTGTACCATAAGCTCGTGGTTCATGAAAGATATGGAAAAATCCACTATAATATTATCAAAACTGAAAACTACGCACAAAATTTTCTTTTAATGTGCTCGACATTTGGTTCAGGCATTCAATAATGTTCTGCCAGTGACTGGCAGGAGAAGTGTCGTCTTTAAATTCTTCAGATGTTTTTGAAGCCATAGGTACCTGACAATAGAGTAATGTATTATCAACATAAGAAATTCCAATTCCAAGATAAAAAATAGTTATTTTCATCCATAGAGCGTAGTAAATTAATCAAGAATGGCATTTTGGGAAATAATCCTAAACCATTGCACAAATCACAAGTGCATGCACCTTAGAGAGCAATTCAAACTACTTATACCGCGCATGATTTCTTCTGGTGGGGCCGAATCATGTAAAAAATGGGAAATAAGCTTAACAAGTTCAAGAGTCTCTATAAATTAATAAAGAATTAGCATTATACACAAATGCATGCTGAAGAAAGAATCTTTATAAAGGAGAACATGAAGAATCTTTTTGTTATTTTTCATTAAGGAATTTTATGTTATTTATATGCAAGAAACTATCTCATTTTAGTGCTTAGAATATGAAAAATACTAGAAATTAGGAAGCAGGAAATCAAGAAATGATACTGAGTAATAAAAGTAAAATAATATCGGCTAATTGGTGCCAGAAAAAGCCTTCGAACTTCTGAAAAATATCACTTAAGCCACTAAATATATTTACACCCAATTAAGCCTCTATATCTTAGAATTTCATCAATCCTTTGCTGTTGGTCACATTTAAAGGGTTTTTTTTATGATTTCACAGGTCACATCATGGTATTGTCACGACATTTCTCTACATTTTTTATTTTATTTAAAATTTTCTTTAAAATTTCTAAAAAAATTAAAAATATTTTTTTTAATTAACTACGGGTACCAATGTATTGAATGACTAATCCAGATCGGGTTTTGTAGAAGTCCATTATGGGGAAGGCCCACCTAACCCAATTTGTTCCATTCGCAATTGTCAAAATTTAAACTTTTGACATTACTTAAGAAATTTATTGCATCATCGCACTAGACCAACTAATTGTTGGTTTTAAAATATATTTTAAAATTATAAAAATATATTTTTTTAAATTCTACAAATGGTACATGGCAGAACTATAATGTGACATGTCACAATAATATTTAGAAAAAACCCGTTTAGACTTACTAGTTAAAATTAGTCAAAATTTACTTGAATCAATTTATCAATTCAAAGGGCTTAATTGATTCAACCTCTCTATTTGAAGATTTAATTAAGACAAAAAAATGGTTCATGAACTTAATTTATTTTTGTTTAGAAGTTTAAGGGCTTCATATACCCTTAATATTATCCTTAAATTATCTCATAAAAATCTGGAAATTGATAAGTCGATAAACTATCCATACTTCCTCTCAAGCTGGTGAAGATTATCATCATTCCTAGCTTGCCTACCAGTACTTCAAAACTTGGTCTAGGCATCCCCTTAAATCTTCCATATGTTGCTAGGAACATAGGTCAAGCAAATTATCCCTTTCTATTTTTTCTCTGATAAATGCCGATCTATCTCAACCTATTTAAAGACTCTGCTTTTCCACTTTTTAGTTGAATAGAAAATTCAGTGAAATGTTCCTTTTCACTGAAATTTACATGGTGAGCTAGGTTCTAAACTCTAGTATAGCATGGAGACACACAACACCTCCTCCTTGAAAGTTAATTATGGATTCGAGCACCATTCATCAACCAATATCATCAACACCTCACCCATGCTTATAATCAGTCACAAACTCAATGACCTTAACTATCATTAGTGATCACAATTTCTTATGTATATTTCCATTAGAGGCAAGGATAATTATCTCACCGAGAAGGTTTCTATCTCAGAAACAATTGATCTCAAGCATCGCTAAGTGATAGTTAATCTTCCATAAGTACTGCTAAAAATCCGATACACCATGATAAAACCAATCATATGAAGATTGAGAGACATTTCACTTTAGAAAAGATCAACAAAGGGGTAGTTCAACTAAATTACATTCCCACTCAACTACAATTTGTTGATATCCTCACCGAAGCTCTCCAAATAACCAGCTTCCATGAATTCAAGTTCAAGCTGAGTTTGTATAACATATACACCCCAACTTGAGGAGGAGTGTAGACAGAAGCTGGTGTTAAAGGTCCTATTTTTTAACTCTGTTGTTTGATTAGAAGCATGTAAAGTCTTTTTAATTCTTAATTATTCTTTTTTTAGAATCAATTTTTAACTTTCTTAGGTGATAAGAGTCCTTGTAGATAAGAGTCTTAGGAAACAAGAAACCTAATAGTTTAAGGACTCTAGTTTATTTAACACGCAACCTATTTAAAGGTTACGTTTTTCCTTATAGATAAGTCTTAAGAAACAAGAAACCTAAGTAGTTTAAGAATTCTCGTTTACGGAACACACAACCTATTTAAAGGTTGTGTTTTTACTCTTTTTAATCGAATGGAAAAATCAGTGAAATATTTCTTTTAACCGAATTTCACACATACAATTAGAGATCAATTCAAACAACCAATACAAAACTTGCTAAGACACAACTAATAAGTTGGTTTTTTTTTCGCTCAAATAATAATTCATTCACTCTGAGAATTCTAAACCAAGCATTTAAGAAGTAAATTCTGGGCAGTCAGCAGAGAGGATATTGTCATAATTTAACATGTATAGAGCAACCAATAATAAAAGGCTAAAAGCTGTGATGTTCACAAGCATAATTTAAACGTGCAGAACCAGAAAATAAGCTGCAATTTTGAAAATATATGTGATAGCAAGTTGAAGTTAATTAATACTGTGACATTCAGTTTCAGTTTATTACAAGAAAGCACACAGACTAACAAGTTCAAGGAATTCAGCACATCTAACTTATAATGCGCAAGGCACTATACAAGGCAAGGAGATGGTTCAGAAAATCAGCCTCAGAAATACCACAATCTTTCTACTGTATATATCGACTGACATAATTTTGAAAGTTAAAACAATAAATCTCTGGGAAGATTCAGTTACTGAAAAGCATTGCTGGTTATACCTGAATACAATTAGAAATATGTCGTGACAAGTCCTTTTTCAGGTTGTCCCTAATGATTCCAAAGATCTTTTCTACATATGCTGTGAGCTGCTGCTTAAAAAGAAGAGCTGGATACTTGGCCTCAACCAGTTGAATTACACCAACTGGAAGATTGGTAGAAGATGATCGAAAACTCTGAGAAAGAACAACATCATGTCACATGATTTTGTGTCATAAGCTCTAGACATTCAACAAAACGTTGATAATGATCATAACTCAATATTTTAAAAGAAGAAACATAATTCTTTTGTTCTTTCCTTCGTTCTTTTTTCTTGTGATAATTAAAGAAGAGTCCAGAGATATTTAAATGACAAGTACTACATGCAAACAAATCAGGCATATTGAAAATGAATTATCTTAATACTTGGGTCATCCTTGAAAATATTGATGTTGCAGCAGCAGATTTGTCTGCACCAGAGGATTTCAAACTACGCTGAAGCAAAAACAACAATGAACAGGTGTTCGATAGCCAATAAGCCATGTGATCATTGGTGTCCTGTTCCTGAAAAATAGCACATGAAATAATGAATGTTATATTTGATTTATTCACTCTCATCTTTTCTGTTGCTTAATAAACCTTCCCGTTCAGTGAAACGTAACTTAAGAACCAGTTAAGTAATCTCTGATGCAAGTCCCTAGCAAAGAGAACAATTCCATATTACTCAGTTAAAAGTGTTCTGACATAAGTCCGTACAAAAGAGAAAAGTATCATAATCCCTCCTACTCTTTATAACAAGATAACTGCTTTCTAACAAGGTAAAAAAAGCATATTTTGTATCTTCTAAATAAAAAAATAGAAAAATAATGAAGGCTTATAAGCTAATTACATTTTTCTATTTATTTCTTGTTCTAGAAAGCCAACAGCAAGTGTGCGTTTGCATGCAAACAATAAATATATATATATATATAGTAATGGAAAATGCAATAATATAATGAAATGAAAACTAGTTTAAGAGTTCTTAGATAACAGAAACATCTAACAAGAATTTTTAAATTTCAATGGGTGTTAACCTTTTAGTTATTTTCTCTTATATTAAACCAAATATGATATTGCCTTTCCTACACGTGTTTTCTCTTTAGGGAAGAAAATTTGTAACCCCATTTTTTCTGAATACAGCTCTAGGGTACTTGAAATATCTTTGATCCGTTTTCATAAGGAAAGAAAGAAAAAAGCAAATACATATAACAAGCTTTCTTAAGCTTCCTACATACAAAGCAATTTGCAAAAGTAATTTGAACAAACTACAAATAGCCATTTTCCACAATAGCTTTTATTATACTAAGTCTGAGCTCCATGTTGATGACAAGGATTTGAGATTAAACTAAATATCAGCTTTTTGAAATAAACAAGTTACCTCTAGTGCAGAGCCAATCATCTCAATAAGACGGTCAAATATACTTGTCTTTTCTGCTTCAAATGATTTCCAATGGAGAAGGCATTTGTATAATGTAAATGCGGCTACAGGCTTTTCTTGACTGAATCCAAGATTTTGTGACACACATCCGAGTAGAGTATCTACATTTTCCTGCGAAAAAGTGATAAATTTAGTCCCTAGAAACTTCATGTGATACAAATACTTGAACAAAAAGAATAGAAAAGAGAAAACCATATTATCCGCGTTCATACCTTTTGCTTTCCTGTTTTACTATCTTCTCTGCCAAAATTTATTTTTGACGATCCGGGACTCATTTGTGCCTATAATAAAGAATTTTCCATCTCAAGATGAAGGAATCATCAAAGAATCAAGTATATATGCTCATATATCAGACAAACGGTGGTAATAGAAAGTTATACAGTCTCTCATTCTTCACTTACCTGTTGATCATTTTCTTGAGGCTGCAAAGTGAAGATAAAGTACATCAAGAAAAAAAAAAGAAACATGAAAAAAAATCAGAACCAGAAAAAAAAATTCAAGGAAAACAGTGTGTTTAAACATAGCTTACTGAAGATGCTGCAGCTGGCTCTGACATTTTAGAACTAGATGCACTCATCAATGCTTGCTTTCGCAGAACCTGATCGTCAGTTTCTATGTCCAAAATCTTCTCTTCAAGCCTGTTAAAAGATACAGAATAATTCAGATAAAAGAAAAGCAGCTGCAGTCAAAGAATGAACAACCCTATCGACAAACATTCATACTGATATAAACATCAAACATATAAACCTCTTCATTGCTGTTTTTAGCTCAATTATCTTTGACTCTGCCTCCATAGCCTGCTTGCTTGATTCTTCATATTTCTTCTCAGTTTCACCAATTTTCTGTTCTAATGAACTTACCAGATTCTGTAATGACATTGTGGCAAACAAAATTTCAAGAAACATAAATGCAAAATTACCAATTTTAAAAATGATATCAAGGAAACTTTTATTCAAACAATATGTCTAACAATACCTTCAACTGATCATTTTCTGCTGTAAGTTTCTTCATCAATTCATCATTAATAACAGGGACCTCCTGAGTCCCAGTAACTTGTTCGGCAGTGCTGCTTGCAGATTCACCTTCCTTGATTGGCAATTCTTTTGTTTCCTGAAAATCAAGTTTCATAAAGGAAACCTTTAGTCAAACCTAAGGCTTATTCAGAAGCAACAAATGTCTAACAATACTTTCAGCCCTTCATTTTCAGAAGCAGATTTATTCATCGATTCGTCATTAGTAACAGAGACCTCCTGAGTCACAGGAACTTGATCAGCAATGTTTCTTACAGTTTGCAATTCCTTTGTTTGCTGCAACTCAACTTGTGTCTTCTCCAAAGCAGATTGTAACCTTGCAATTTCTTGATTTTTGGATTCCTTGAGGTCAGCCTGCCGTAATAATTAATCAGTTAGAAAAAAGAAAAAACAAAATGCAGTAATTCTACTTCCGGTTGTTATCCTTTCTTGCATGTTTTACTTAAAAAATTAAGAAATGGACAAAATAAACCAAAGGCAACTTGTACGTAGGCGTTAATGGTAGCCTTCTAATAATACCAAGAAAATGCATCGGCTATCATGGCCCTATAAGCAAACCAAAGGATACTGTAATTTAGTCCCAAAAAGAAAGAAAAAAAAATCATCCAGACAATTAATAGGATGGAAACAATCAGCCATTCTCCATAAAGAAATTAACATGATAGTTTATCACAAGTTTTTTACCAAAAATATACTGAAGATATAATTGAATTGAGAGATATTCTTGCATCTATATGGAAAAACTATAAACCCGTATGCTTCTTATAATGCCATTACTATTATCATGAAAAGACCTACCCTCAGTTGTTTCTCTGTCTGCAAGCTGCTTGTAAGTTCTTTAACTTGCTGTTCCAGCTTTTCCTTAGCTTCTTGGAATTCCCCAGTTTCCTTGGCAGCCTGCATCTTAAGTTCTTTAACTTGCTGTTCCAGCTTTTCCTTGGCTTCTTGGAATGCACCAGTGTCCTTGGCAGCCTGCATCTTAAGTTGTTTAACTTCCTGTTCCAGCTTTTCCTTGGCTTCTTGGAGTGCACCAGTTTCCTTGGCAGCCTGCAGACAGACAGGGTAATCAATGTACTATCACCTTATAGATGAGACTATCAAAAGATCACATCGAACAGATACAAAGTTTTCCTTTGGCAGGAATGGAAAGAAACTGAGATTACAACTGATGATATATATAATACAACTGATGCAAGCAACATAAGATCAAATGATAGCATTATTATCCCATTTCTCAATAGACGGCTGTTAGTAGGGGTTGGCTCCAGATACTCCTTTGTTCTTCTATAATTAATATTCTCATGGAAATAGTCTGATTTAGAGATATCATCATCTATGCAGAAATTGTGTTGAAAAAAATGTTTTTTTAGCACATACCAGTGAAAGAGAAGATCACGGCCTTCAACTAATTCAATGAATAAAAGAAATAGAGAAATCACAAAATCACCATTCTTAGCTGATGCAATTCTCCACATGCAATGCTTGCTCTCACGCCACATTGTATGATAAGTGCTGCTTCCTTTACCCCACGGTAACGACTATTGGCCAATTTTCGTCGACATTGACTCTGAGGCAGACAAGAACTCACTTGGCTTCAGAATGCGGAAATTATAACAAAAATAACAACTGGAAACTACCAATCAGAAACAATATTTATTGCAACACAACTAAGCCATTTTCTTTCATCGGAAATAATTGAACCTAGAACCTTCTTGTGTGCAATATAACTCTTTACAACCTAGGGCACACCAGAGACTGCTTCGGATCTTTATTACCAATCAGAGGACACACTAGACTTCTTTTCCCTTTTAATTTTATTTTACAGGAAAAATATAGGCCCTAAAGGAGAATGAACTCAGCACAGTTTGATCTAAAATGAAGGAAATTAACTTTGAAAAATATTTTTTAAAGTTTGGTAAATATTTCTTTGAAAAATGTTTTTCAAAGTTTGATAGATGTTTGTTGAAAATATGAGTGGATAAATTTACTTTAGTCATTGTACTTTAAGGTATTTTTAAATATTAGTCCCTAGGTTTCAACTATAAATACCCTAGCTCATTTAGCTTCAAATCTCAAATCCCAAATCTCATATCATTTCTTTCTCCCAATACTAGAGAATTTCTTGTGAGTAGTGAGTGTTTTGTAAACACCTGTAAATTTTCTCTCTTAGTAAAAGATCTGCAGCAGTCCGGAGACGTAAGCACAATTGGCTGAACTCTGTTATCAATTTTCGGGTATTATTTTTCCGCTTTTATTTTGCATTCTTACTAATCTGGTTATAGGGAAATTACTTGTTTACTCGTTTATTTTCCAACAACTGGTAATCAGAGCTTTTGGTTGTAAATTTTGTCAATTTTTGCGAGGTTACTATTCATTACTATTCACGTAAATAGTGAATTTCGTGAATAGTAAAAATTTTGTCAGCGATACGAATTTGTCGACGGAGGTGTTCTAATACACGGTGGTTCGCAAGAATTGTCAGAAACGATCCAAACGAAGCAAGATTCGAGTGGGAGCGATGGCTGCAGACGAAGGGAAGGTGAAAATTGAAAAGTTCGATGGTGCGGACTTTGGCTTTTGGAAGATGCATATTGAAGATTTTCTGTACCAGAAAAATCTATATCGACCTCTCTCAGGAAAACAACCAAAGCACATGAAGAATGAAGACTGTGCTCTTCTCGACAGACAAGCCCTCGGAGTTATCCGACTGACGTTGTCCCGCAATGTTGCTTTCAACATAGCAAAGGAAAAGACCACGGCGGGTCTTATGGCGGCTCTCTCCAGTATGTATGAGAAGCCATCAGCCTCAAACAAAGTTCATTTGATGAAGTGATTATTCAATTTGCGGATGGCAGAAGGGGCATCAGTGGCTCAACACCTAAATGAACTCAACACAATCACAACCCAGTTGAGTTCAGTAGAAATTGAATTCGATGATGAAGTTCCAGCTTTAATTCTCTTATCATCTCTATCAGACAGTTGGAATGCTACTGTTACAGCAGTCAGCAGCTCGTCAGGAAACAACAAATTAAAATTCGACATTTTACGGGATCTGGTATTGAGTGAAGAAATTCGACGGAGAGAATCGTGTGAAGCATCAACCTCCTTAGCCTTGCACACGGAGTCCTGAAGGAGAATTTCAGAAAGAAATTCAAATCGTGGCAGATCCAAATCCAAAAGGGAAAAATCAAGAACAGGAAAGAAAGATTTTACCTATTATAATTGTGGCAAGAATGGTCACTTTAAAAGAGACTGCCGAGCACTGAAGAAAGATACCGGCGCACAGGAGTCTGTCAACGTGACAGAGGAGACATGTGATGTCATGATTCTAAGCGCCAACAGTCCGATTGAATCATGGATCTTGGATTCAGGGGCATCTTTCCACTCCACCACATGCCGAGAAATCATGAAGAACTATGTCAGTGGTGATTTTGGGAAGGTTCATCTAGCTGATAATGAAATCTTGAAGATAGTCGGAAAATGAGACATCCTACTAAAGTTGCCAAACCAGACCACCTGGACGCTGAAAGAAGTGAGACATATTCCTGGCCTCAAAAGAAATCTGATTTCTGTAGGACAATTTGATGGAGAAGGTTATAGTACAACCTTTTCAGGCTGTGAATGGAAGATTACCAAATGAGCACTCGTCATTGCTCGTGGTAAGAAGAGTGGTACTCTCTATGTAACCTCAAACTTATAGAATATCATTGCTGCAGCAGGCGTTGATGGAAAATCAAACCTATGGCACCAAAGGTTTGGTCATATGAGCGAGAAAGGGATGAAGACACTTTTGTCAAAAGAGAAGCTGTCGGATCTAAAGAATGTAGATGTCGGACTATGCAAGGATTGCATCTTTGGCAAACAAAAGAAAGTCAGCTTTGCAAAGATTGGTAAGACACCCAAGGCTGAAAAGTTAGAGTTGGTTCATACTGATGTATGGGGATCATCTCCAGTTCCATCTCTTGGAGGCTCATTATATTATGTCACCTTCATCGATGATTCTACAAGGAAGATGTGGGTTTATTTTCTGAAGAAGAAATCAGAAGTCTTTGATACCTTCAGAAAATGGAAGGTCGTGGTGGAAAATGAGACTGGTCTGAAAGTTAAGCGGTTGAGGTCTGACAATGGAGGAGAGTACAGAAATCGTAGATTCATAGATTTCTGCGCAAACAATGGGATCAGGATGGAGATAACAGTTCCCATGACACCGCAGTAGAATTGCGTAGCAGAGCGCATGAATAAAACTCTGAATGAACGTGCCAGAAGCATGAGGATACATGCCGAATTACCCAAATTTCTATGGGCTGAAGCTATCAACACTGCAGCTTACCTGATCAACCGTGGGCCCTCAGTTCCTTTGGATGGCAGAATATCAGAGGAAGTTTGGAGCAAGAAAGAAATAAACCTTTCACACTTAAGAGTGTTTGGTTGTATTTCTTATGTACACATAGACTCTGTTGAAAGAAGTAAACTTGATGCTAAGTCCAACAAATGTGTCTTTGTTGGTTATGGCGGTGATAAGTTCAGTTATCGGTTTTGGGACTATGAAAATCGGAAGATCATCAGAAGCAAAGATGTTATTTTCAATGAGAATGTGATGTACAAAGACAAATCAACCATAGAATCAAGTAGCTCAAACACCGAAGCTGAAACAAAGGAATTTGCTGAGTTCGAGGAGATTTCTAAATATGATGTTCAGATCAATCCTAAAGCAGTTCAAGAAGAACCAGGCACACCAGAACTGAGACGCTCCTCCAGAATTCCTAAACCAACCCAACGGTATTCTCCTTCTTTGCACTACTTATTGCTGACTGACAATGGTGAACCAGAGTGCTATGATGAAGCAATGCAAGTGGAGGATTCAGTCAAGTGGGAGTCTTCCATGAAAGATGAGATGGACTCGCTTATGTCAAATCAGACGTAGGAATTAGCTGAATTACCACCAGGCAAGAAAGCGCTCCACAACAAGTGGATTTACAGGATCAAGGAAGAGCACGATGGGAGCAAACGCTACAAAGCGAGATTGGTTGTCAAAGGTTTTCAACAAAAAGAAGGTATTGACTATAATGAAATTTTTTCTCCAGTCGTGAAGCTGTCTACAATCAGACTGGTATTGCAAATTGTAACTGCAGATAATTTACATCTTGAGCAGTTAGATGTAAAGAGAGCTTTCCTTCATGATGATTTGAAGGAAGAAATCTATATGAGGCAGTCAGAAGGCTTCATAGAGGTAGGCAAGAAAAACCTGGTATGCAGGTTGAAGAAGAGCTTGTATGGTTTAAAACAAGCTCTTAGACAGTGGTACAAGAAGTTTGATAGCTTCATGGGTAGCAGTGGTTTTACCAGATGCCAAACATATCATTGTTGCTACATCAAGAGGTTCGACAATAGCTTCATTATTTTATTGTTGTACGTTGATGACATGCTCGTTGCAGGCTTAAACATGCAAGAGATTATACACTTGAAGAAAAAATTGTCGAAGCAGTTTGCTATGAAGGATCTGGGCGCTGCAAAGTAGATTTTTGGGATGAGGATCAAGAGAGACACAAAGTCGGGTACTTTGATGTTATCACAGGCTGAGTACATCAACAAAGTACTCTCCAGGTTCAACATGCAAGATGCTAAACCAGTAAGTACACCTTTAGGTGTTCATTTTAGACTCTCCAAAGAACAGTCACCAAGATGGAGGAAGAACGTGCACATATGGTGAATGTGTCGTATGCCTCAGCAATTGGAAGTCTAATGTATGTCATGATTTGTACCAGACCAGATATTGCTCAAGCAGTGGGAGTTGTTAGCAGGTACATGAATAATCTGGGCAAGGTACACTGGGAAGCAGTCAAATGGATCCTCAGATATCTGCGGGGTACTACAAACAAAGCACTTTGTTTCAAAGGTGGAGATACGATAATGACAGGTTATGTAGATGCTGACTTAGCCGGAAATATTGACATCAGAAGGAGCACTACAAGGTATGTCTATACTCTAGGAGGAACTGCAGTGAATTGAGTTTCTCAACTACAGAAGATAGTTGCTCTCTCCACAACTGAAGCAGAATATGTCGCTGTTACGGAAGCCAGCAAGGAGATGGTTTGACTCCAAAGTTTCTTGGAAGAGTTAGGCAAGAAACAAGAAAACAATGTCTTGTATTGCGACAATCAAAGTGTTATCCATCTAGCAAAGAATTCGTCTTTTCATTCCAGGACGAAGCACATACAATTGAGATATCATTTTATCCGATCTCTTCTGGAAGATGGGATTTTGAAACTTGAAAAGATTAGTGAAGCTCAAAATCCGGCAGACATGTTAACAAAGACGGTGACTACGGACAAACTGAAGTTGTGTTCAGCTTCAGTTGGCATTCTAGAATAACAAGACCAGAAATACTGCTGCATTGATCGAGGTGTGAAGACAGATTAAAATCAGTCTTCAAGTGGGAGATCGTTAAAAGTTAGTTTCAAAGTTTGGCAACCAACTTTGAAAAATGTTTTTCAAAGTTTGATAAATGTTTCTTTGAAAAATGTTTTTCAAAGTTTGGTAGATGTTTGTTGAAAATAGGAATGGGTAAATTCACTTTAGTCAATGCACTTTAGGGTATTTTCAAATATTAGTCCTTAAGTTTCAACTATAAATACTCTAGCTCATTTAGCTTCAAAATCATCCCAAATCCCAAATCATTTCTTTCTCACAATACTAGAGAGTTTCTTGTGAGTAGTGAGTGTTTTGTAAACACTTGTAAATTTTCTCTCTTAGTAAAAGATTTGCAGCAGTCCGGAGACGTAAGCACAATTGGCTTAACTCCGTTATCAATTTTCGGGTATTATTTTTCCGCTTTTATTTCGCATTCTTACTAATCTGGTTATAGGGAAATTACTTGTTTACTCGTTTATTTCCCAATAACGTATTCTATAAAACATACTATTTCTAAAGCCTAGTAAACTATTACACGCGGTTGAATTCTTAGAAAGATAAAGAGTAAAAAGGAAATAAAAAGAAAACTATCATCTATTGATGTTTCATTGATTAAAATAGATTTATATCTTTACCTGAATTACAATTGCAGCCAGAGTCTGCTTCCTGAACCGAAGCTCATTACGGGCACTCAGCGCACGCAAACTTGCCTGAATGGAAACAGCTGAGAACCACAAATTCTTGTATGATTTCCTTTTTATAAACCTGCGAGTATATTTTTGAATATTCAGACTAGCAGCTTCTCTTCTCATTCCCTCATATAGATGGCGCCCCAGTTGTCCTGCATGCAGGTTAGAGAAAACAACAAGGAAAGTAAACAAGACAATTGATACACAGAAACAATTCCTTCTAATGAAACAATCACAACTGCACTTCTATGAAACTCTTGTTACCCCTACAGAAAGCTTGAATTTGTATGGCAGATGATCGCAATGAGACAAACTTTTTGCGGCACATATATGTACAGCATTTTCTTTGTATTTTCGTTGATGATCTTCCCAAAATCTCAGCTCGTTGACCATCTAGTTCGGCCATCTGACCAGCTCTGAGAAAAACTTTTGTTTTACCAATCTGCAACCGCATAAAGTTAGTAAGAACAAAATTAAATGATACATGAGCCTTGTGGCAGCAACAAATCAAAATACACTAAATGTAAAAACTGATGCAATCAGACAGCAAGCAAGAGATGTGGAATTTGGACACGCATTATATATATGAACTGCTTAAGAAATAAATAGATTGACAAAAGCCGTCTCAAAGTTTAGTTTTAAGAAAATTTATAAATACATGATGTACCTGATAACCACCTAGGTTGCTTTTCTCCAGAATCTTTTTGCAAGCAGCGATCTTATCACTGCTACCACAGAATAAGTAACACCTCACACGTAACTCATGAATTCTAGTTACATAATTCTAAAGAATAAAATGTAATAATTTTTTCACTGCAAGAGACAATCATGGAAAAGCTACCTCTTGCTTCGAACCTCTGGAGCCAATATGGCAAACCGGTCTATAAATTCATGAAACTGCTTTCGGGAGGGAAATCCAGCACAACTAATTCTAATTGCCTCCATCACTCCCTAGAATCAAACATGTATCAAAACCATCATAAATGGACTTACAAACAGGCTGCTTACCATCAAAAGTACTGATCAAAACACCAAAACTTACCCCACATCGAAGTTGTTGTAGTACATTATTGTTTTCAAATATTGCTGGCTTAAGAACATTATTAGGCTTTACACAACGAACATAGTGTGGTTCAGTGGAATTCAAAGTTTCCAGCAAAGATTGGAGTTGTTGCTGTGTAAAGCACATGGTATGTGTCAAAATGAACAAAAATAGATGAAGAATATAATCTGCCTCTAACATACACACAAAAGCTGAAACAGACCTTGAAGGCAGAACCTATTGAAGAAAACTTCGATGATTTGGAAGATTCCTCAGGTAAAGGAGGAAACAAGCTTGAAACAAAAGAGCATTTTGAAGCAGCCAGTAAGGCTTGATGCTCTGGAACAACATAATCTTTGTTCTTGTCCAGGAAGAGGTCGGTCTGGTAAGTCACCTGTAGCAGAAATTCATTCACACTGAATATTAAGTTGATTTAATGGAAGTACATATGAGAATCACAGTTGGACTATTTCTAGTGAAGAATGAGACCAATTTAGATTTACTCAAGTCCAATTTAACCAATTTAAGTTCTAACAGAGCAGGAAAAGAAAACAGTTCCAGTTTAGCTTTTGTTCAGTTTCCTGAGCCAAGGTCCTTAGGCGATTCCACATTTATTAAAACATGGATTCTTACACATAATTTGAGTAGAATTAGCTAATAGGGTTTAAATGTTAACCAATTTAGACATGTGTTAGCTGTCAAGTTTAACACATTGACTTATCTTTTTATCTTGCTATTTAAGAGCCTCTGAAAGGATGTCCTGGAATAACAAAGATACTTACATCACCAGCATAATGACAAATGGTGAAGTCAGTGCGTGACAACTTAGGTTTACTGAAGCGTTTATTGTCTTTAAAAGTCTGATAAAGCTTTTGAGCAAACGTCTCATGCGTTGATCTGGGAAACATGCTATGGAAATAAAAGAAGTTATTGTCACAATTTCACAGGGTGATTGAAGCCAAAGAAATTAAACTAGAAACTCCAAGTTTATTTCTTAAAATAAGAAAAATGGTGATCATCATTAATATGCATTCTAATACCTACCAAGCCTCATCAAGAAGAGCTATGATGCCACCGGGTTTCTGTAAGGAGAAAAATAAACATTAGTAGATAAAAGTTCTCCATTGAAAATTCTCTATTTTCTACAATTATCAATGCATCCCAATGATTACATAAAAAAATACTAATTGTAGCCAATCAATCATTGTCAAAATTTCAGAAAAGAACACCCACATGACTTGAAAAAATACACTTTACATCCAAAAATCATGTGTTTGAGGATCAAAATCAACTACTTAAATACACTATATTATGAAATAATTTTTTTTAAAAAATATTATGAAATAAACAAAGATCAATAACTAAATGCACAAATTTATTCAGCAATTTTTTAATTATTCAAAACACAGACCTATTCCACACAAAAACAAACACAAAATATTATAGAAGAAGAAGGATTTCTGGTGAAAAACTAAACTAATATGGAAGAAGTGGTGACATACCTTTTCAATAAGATCAAGAATATCTTGATTATCAACAAATTCTATATAACTCCAGTCAATTTTTTCTCTTTCATATTCCTCCTGCTCCATCTTAAAAACATGCTGGCAAATGACAATATCAGTCATGTTAAGAATAGTTGTAAAAGCTTAAAAGATGAAAATTCCTAAAGACACTAGCACCAATATAATGCATAAACCTGATTAAAATGCTGTTGTAGCTTTTCATTTGTCAAATTGATACAGAATTGCTCGAAACTGCATGCGGTGAAAATTTAAAAATCATGTAAATGTTAACAGTGTCAAACTATGAAATATGGTAAACGGTTGTGCACATTGTATAGCTTGAAAATAGACAGACCATGCAGGCATAATGAACTTCAAAATTCATGAAACGCTGCAATCATCCAAAAAGAAAAAGAAAAGGTAGTTGTCACACTAGCCAAGACCTACAGAGTTAATTAGAAATAGAGACCACCATAATTCGTTAGGAATTTCAACGGATCATGGCCTTAAAATCTTGAATTCCCCTAAATAGACATCCCACTGTGGAAAAGATACAGGGATGTCACAAAAAGCTGATTTACCTAAATGACAAAAACAAAGCATACCGGTTAAGCACCTGTTTGTCTTGAAACTCTCAAATCCATAAATATCAAGAACACCGATCAAGAATTTTGAGTCTGAATCCTGACCGATAGCAACATTTATCTTCTCCACAAGCCTGAGGAAACCAGAGTGCAAAGTACTAAGAGAAAAACTACAGATATGATGTGTTGAGTCTGTCTCTCTCCGGAATGAATCTCTTTGGTAGACTGAAAGTTACCAGTCAAATAATTTTGAATAAACAATTTTGGCCAAAGCATCCCTACTGAGAGCTGCAGCATCTGGATCCAGCGCTTTTGTAATTGTCTCATCACGAGTGACAAAAACACGTTTACATAAGGACTCTTCAAGAGCCTTCTCATCACACCTAAACAACAAAGGCATGTTAGAGTTTTTCCATTAACATCTACACATAAGGACAGTAGTAATGAAAAATTACATGAAAAGTTCTGCAGCATTTTTCAGATGGGACCGAGATTTATCATCCTTAGGCTGAGAAGAATCTATTTCTTTTCCCTTAGCAAACTCAACATTTCCTAAATGTAGAATTCCAGCCACAACTCGAAATATTGCATCCTGAGATAATACCACTCGGGAAGATATTTAAAATGAAAATAAGAATGAAGTTAGATAACTCCAACTAAACTAATTATCGAGACACTTACCTGCTCTTCCTGATTCATCCCAACCACACCCATAGCTCTCCTAGTTGCAACATACTCTTCAGCATCATTTATAGCATCCAGCGCAATGCAATTTGACTGGTTTAAGTAACGAAAAGATTTTGGATTTCCCAATTTGTACTTATCAACATCCTGGTAACATGTATAAGGAATAAAACCAGAAAAGGCTTAGATGCCTCTTGGGTAACAAAAAACCGATAAACATAGGCAAAAATGATGTCTTGATGTTGTCGATACAAAACTTTTATCACAAGGGCCCAAATAGTTTTATTCTCATACTGCATTAGCCATATTTGTGAATCTATAACATATTTCGATATTGAAAGAAATCTTCAGATAAAATGACCACAATTTGATAACCCAGCCCACAGAGCTTGAAGTGCTGAAAGCTAAGTTACTAAAGACCTAATTTAAGCAACTTCAAGACCATCCCTACACTTCTACGCTACATTTCTGTTGAAAAGAATAATCAAATCCAATTATTGAGGAATCATTTTTTCTGAGGAAAACCATATCTAAATGAACTGAAAAAGCATAGGCGAGAACAGGACAAATGCAGAAAACCCAGAGGAGACACCATTACCTCTTTTGGTGCAGCACAAAGCATATAAAAGCAATGATAATTTCTCTCTGGATCAGACACTTGGCAAACACGAGATCGTTCGAGCAAATAAGTTCTTATTGCAGCTCCAGAAATTCTTCCCCTATGATCAAACTGAAGTTCCACAAACTTGCCAAAGCGGCTGCAATTTCATCATGTTCAATCAGGGGCAGTCTTTCATCATTTAAAACAAGACCCTCAAAGTAAAATTCCTCAATGTATGAGGAATAAACCAAATTTCTTAATATAGATTTCCAACCTTGAATTATTGTTTCTGACAGTCTTTGCATTGCCGAATGCTTCTAGAACAGGATTAGACTACAAATGTAACAAGCAAAAAACAAATTAGGAAAAAGATTATTATTCTTTCTTTTATTCAATCAACATTGTTTTCCAGGAAAGGGAAGGCTTACATCCAAAAATGCAATATCAAATTTGTCAATTTCACATAAAAACTGAAAGTTAAGGAGTTTGAGCTACCTCCAAGACCTTCTGCTCCACAGACCGCTCCTCTGTATTGTCAACTTTCCCTCCCATATAGGCTAGATAGCGCATAAGCATCTTTGTACTCTCTGTTTTACCAGCTCCACTTTCACCACTTACCAAAATTGCTTGGCTAATGGATTCATTGATCATTTGTCTGTTCACAACAGTTTTTAAATCAATGATGTGCATCAAGAATGCAGAAGAATTTTATGATTGATAAGACTACCTATAGGCAGAATCTGCAATAGCAAATGGATGTGGGCTGAGCTCACCCAAGGCTACCCCTTTGTACTTTTGCATCACCTGAAGGTTGTATAAATGTGGCAGTCTTTGAAAAGGATTTACAGCAATCAATATGCTTCCTGTGTAGGTCTGGAATAAACACCAGAACATTAGCTGCTCACAACAATACATTCCTCTAGAAAACATAAAACAACCCTAGAACATATTAAAGCAACACACTGACACAGCCATCATAAACCATACTAAAGGGTTGCAATAATGAAACATGGTATTGGACTAGTACAATACCATAAAGACATAATAATTCAAGCAATATGAGAAATATGCTGGAACAGGTAATGTGAGTAACCCTGTCTGCTTCGAACCAAATCAAAAAATGAAAATGGATGCAAACCAGCTGGTAATACTTACATATATTTCATTAACATCGTATCGACATTTTAAATTCTGCAAAACCCCAGGTTCATGCAAATATGCTAGCTTTGTCATATCATCAACACCAGTTGGAGAAAATTCAGGGTCCTTCGGATGGGCGCTAGATGTCTTGGCCACAATCTACATAACAGTAAAGGAAACAAAAGCCACAAATCTTTCAAACACTAATTTCATAACTAAAAAAAAGACAAAATAAAGGGAATTATTCTTGTGAACTAGCATATACAGTGAAGGAAAATTAGAGTTGAAAAGATGACAGGCATTGTTAAATGAAGATATGATACAGGTTCATAATCTAAACATTATGGTGGTGTTGTTTTTGAAGAGGTAAAAAATCTACAGTCTGCGCCACATCTGCAAACATCTGCAGCAGAAGATGTGGACCAAAAGTCTGCAGTTTGCAAGAAGAAGACTGTTTGTTTTTTAACGTCTGTAGACTGCTAAAATAAACTGATTTTTTAAACTTAAAAGAGTTTTGCAATACTGAAATTTAAATAATTTTAGTTTTATAATACTGAAATTTAAATAATCCATACAACTACAATAATAAATTTTTTAAAATAAATCAATTCATATTTTAAAATAAATCAATCCATATTTTAAAATAAATCAATCCATATTTTAAAATAAATTAATCCATATTTTAAAATAAAAATTTTCCATATTTTATAATAAATCAATCCATATTTTAAAATAAAATTTTTTATATTTTAAAATAAATCAATCCATATTTTAAAATTAATCAATCCATATTTTAAAATAAATCAATCCATATTTTAAAATAAATTTTTCCATATTTTAAAATAAATCAATTCATATTTTAAAATAAATTTTTTCATATTTTAAAATAAATCAATCCATATTTTAAAATAAATTTTTCCATATTTTAAAATAAATCAATCTATATTTTAAAATAAATCAATCTATATTTTAAAATAAATTTTAAAATAGATTTAAATGATTTTAATTTTCTCGCAGACCTTTGAAGACCTAAAACCATTTATGTACCAAGAAGAGCTCGCACAGACGTTTGAAAAGCTTCTGTCTTCTAAAAAACAAACGGTCTGCGAAGTCTAATGTCTGTGCGTGGTCTGCGCGGCACATACATAAGAGGTTTGAAGATGTTACACAGTAAAAACAAACTAAGCCTATATGTTGTAGTGCTGAAAGATCTACATAGCACACATAAAAAATTCCTGAGAACAAGAACTCACCGTCTTATTTGATGTACGCTTTACTTTAATCTCGTCCCCGTTAATTTCTAAGACTTCCCCATCTACCCAAGCATCATCTGGATCCTCCACCCAAACTTCTGAACCAACCATAAAAGCGGACGTAGCAGCCTGCAAGGCCATGCCAAGCCATCAGCATACTGATTTGGAAAAAGAATATAAAAGAGTATGAAACATAAAAATAAGTTGTATTTATGCAAAGTACAGCAAATAGGTTAAACAGTGGGTTCCGTAACTACCTTGATGTCACATTGGAGTGACTAAGAGAACTTTGATTTTATGCATCTCACCTTAAAATTCTCTCAAACAATTTTCTCACAACTATCCATTTGAATTTGAGACTTGGAAATCAGAAATTCAATGCAAAAAAAACATTCTCGACAAAAGAACAGGGCTAAATATGTGAATAGCTCACCCTTTCTGAGCTGCCATTAGTTTTAGTAACCTAGCTACGTCCCAAAGGCTAGTAAAGGAATGCTAATACAGAACCCGGGAAACTTATGGGTTCCTTTGGTTGCGCTCCGCATGGGAACATTAAGCAAATTATAGCAAAGCTACTTGTCAATAATTAATGTCAAATAACAACGTCAATGTTACTATCTATTAAGAATCTTGTCGACCAAGGAAAAAAGAAATGCAGCTCTACTGCTAGAAACTGGAAGATTTACTTGAACACAATCAGTAATCTCTTCAAAGGACGTGCCCGTAATGAACGTTTTACAATAATAAACAGCATCAAATATAATTCAAATATAAATAATTTGCATGCCAAAATAAATCAACAAACGACATTCAGGGAAAAAAAAGATGATAAGAAATAATATTTATTGATTTTGATTTTGATTTTAATTAGCTCATTGAATTGAAGATGCTTCTTCATTCACGACAAAGAGAATCCACAATCGAAAGAACATGCAATGATATTCAGGAAAAGACGAACAAACATGAAAATCAAATAAACTTGCATGGAAAAGAGATTCGGACCATTGTTTATGATTCGATTCGGATTCAACTCAGAGGTAATAAACACTAGATCCTTCCTCCACCAAATGCGAAGCGAATTGCCATCCAAACAAAAGAAAAACGTTCACCTCCAAATCTCAGCCTCTGATCAAACAAAAAAAACATGATTATTCCTCGCACTCTTTTATCTAAGCCTTCCAAATCTCTCTATAACTGCAAACAATTCGTTATCGGATTCTCCTTTTCTCCATTTAATTTATTCCGTTTTTTGTCTTTTTGGAATCGAAGAGCCGAGGAAGATGTCATGTCAAATTGAAGGAATGTGCCATTGCAGAAAAAATAAATGCTATACAAAAAGAAAAAAGATCGTTAGCCTCTTCTTTTAGCAGACGGAGCGAATCCGAATAGCAAACAATGCTTCGCCTCTGCAAATTTCTTTTGATTTTTGTTTTCCTCTAAGCTCAACGTCGTGGAGGCTTGAACCCGAAAAAAGATGCTATGGATTTCCTAATTTGTCATTTAAGTTTGGAGGATATTTGCCATTACTAAGACGATGTAGTTTCGGTTTCGACGGCCGTGATTTACAGTTCTGATCTGATGTTAATAATTGCGGATTGTTTGGAAACCGTAAGCTTATTTTTATTACCAACAACTAACTACCCCTTTTTAGCCTTTAGCGGCAAAATAGCCCAAATAATGCATATGGGGTATATTATTTTCCAAACAAATGCACTTTGCTTATTATTTATCCAAATGGGGTGATATATACAATGAACCCATGAATGCCTTGGATCTCTAAGCGTCTTCAATGTAATTTTTCCTATGCAAAATAGTTTTGGAAATCTTGGCGTCTTTAAGTTTAATTAATACCAATGCTTAGTAATAATTGTTTAAGACAATGCAATGATTCAACACAAATTATATGCATTTAATAAAAAAAATTACCCGGTGAATGTGCACAGTACATGCATTCAACAATGTTTTTATTTTAATATTTAAATAAAATCTTTAATTTAATGTTTTAATAATATTTAGTAATGATTTGATAATAATGATTTGATAATATTTAATGATTTGATAATAATGATTTAATAATGATAATAATGATTTGATAACATTTTTTATTTAATAATACTCAATTATTCGAATATATATATTTATTACTAAAAGTTTAAAACGTCAATTTTTACTTCTTACTAAAATGAAAAATTGAGATCTATAATGGAAATGTTTTTGAAATAATTTTTACTAAAGGTTTCGAACTTTAATCGAGTCAAAAACTCATTTGACAGTATCGATACCGTTGTTTTCCAACAGTTGAATTTTTTAATTTAAAAATATTTAATGATTTCAAACTAATAATTTAATAATGATTACTAATAATGATTTAATAATTATTATTAATTTAAAAATAAGAAATGATTTGATACTAATGATTACTAATAATGATTTCATTGTGGTCGTTGCACTTGTTCAGGAGTTTGTTCATCATAACCAACCTGCTCATTTACTGAAGGCATATGATCCGGTGTTGTAAATATATGTCCACCACCACTATGCTCTCTCATCTGAGAATAAATACTTGTATTTGTCATCATAGATGACATCTGATCAAAATCATATGTTGCCCCAAACATGGGAGAGAACATGGGTGATTGATGAGGAACAAGATGAGGAGTGTAGGGCGTAACACCATAATTACCAAACACTTGATAAAATGATCATGTGTGATCAAAAGATTCTGGTGGGATATTATCCATTACCGCTTGTTATGCTCCATGGTGAGAATAACTCCCACTCACAATTCTTCTTGTTTTCTCGGGTTTACCAAATTTTTTTTCTTATACTCTATAAATTGTCTTCTTTCTCTGTTCGTTGTCAAAAACGGTTTTCCATGTTCCCAATAATAATAGGTAATCCGAACTCTGAAAGTCAAAGTCATCCGCTTGTATGGAAGTGAGCGTTGGAAAGTTGAAACCCCTGTTATTCCAATGATTGATATGGTTGGCATGCCTCACAGACCAATCCTCAGTGACCTTGCCCCGCCCATCTAATCTGTGGAGAACGTAATGATTCTCTGGAATTCCTGTAATAGGTTGGTGGAAGCCGAACTGTCTCAACACTCTATCGGAAAATTGGAACTCCACAAATGCGAAAGGGATCAATGGTGTAACAACACACCAATATTGACAACCCTCCCAAACACATGGTTTTCAGAACCGGATCGGTTAGCGAACCGGCCATGCTACCAGTTCACTTTTTCAACCGGTCGAACCGGTCCGACCGGTCGGAAGAACCGGACGACGTAATAATTATTTAAAAAATTAAATAAAAATACCAAAAATATTTAATAAAAAATAATTTTTTTATATCACAAGTCATATTCAAAGCAAGTCATAACATATATAAATTAAAAACCATAAAATCAAGTGAAACAAAATGATTCAAATTAACTACAACATAATATTTAAGGTAAAACATATTAAATAATAAATATAATTATATAACTATAATTAAAAAATAAATTTGGGGCTAAAAAAATCATAACAAAATGATATTGTTTGGTTTAATTTTTTTTAAAAAAACAATCCCACATGGATAAGAAACATAGAAGAGCATCCCAAAAGTCTAAAGAGTAAAAATATGAGAACAAAACAATCCCACATTGCTAAGAAATATAGAAGAGCATCACAACTAACTTCTATAAATAATAGAGGTAATTTGGTATTCAAAATCATGGAGCCTTTTGGTGAGCATTGAGTGAACTATTCTTTCACTTCAATCAAGCTCGAATTTTAGGCTTCAATTGAGCTTCTAATTTTTTTTTAGTTCAAGCCTTTTTTGAGTTCAAGTTTCAATATTATATTTCGAGTTCGAGTTGAACTTGATAATTTTTAACTTGTGAGTTTGAGTGGAGTTGAGCTTACTTTTAAAGTTTTCAAGTTCGAGTCGACCTCAGCAATACTCGAGTTCGACTTGGCTCGTTTAATAAACGACGTTTGGTTTAATTTTTAAAAAAAACACAAAATTTCCGGTTTTTTCCGGTTTTCAGCCGGTCTGGTTCGAACGGTTCAGCGGTTATGGTCGGTTCACTAGTAGCGGTTCAACCGGTTTAGATTGAACCGACTAGGCAAAGGTTCCCGGTTGAACCGATTGAATCGGCCGGTCCGGTTTTCAAAACAGAGCCCAAATATGTTGCGGTAAGCACGACATAATTTCTCCATCACCGTATGACCTCCAAATAAACTGTAAAATAAAATTATATAGTTATTATTTAGGGTTTAGAGTTTAGGGTTTAGATATATATAAAATTCAACTAAATAAATAAACAACAATATTATATTATAAACATAATAAAAAATAAATTACCTAATTAATTTTATATATACCTCAACTTTGCATTTGATGTCAATCTTAAACCTAAACTCTTTCACATTATTGTGTGCCAACCCCGTTCCTTCTATTTTATGCCTCCATCTGTATACCATTCAAAATAAAATTCTCTAATTATTTATCCTTTACAAAATATTCTTTAATTAATTTAAGATAAAAAAAAGTAAATAAAAAAATTATCTTCTGACAAGAGGAAAGCCAATTGTAGTTCGGCTAATCGATGTTAACCATGGAATTTTGTGATATACACACGATTGTAATAACATCATACATCCACTGATTTCAGTCGTATGCGCTTCATTTACAAGTAATGACGTCTTGCACATCTCACGATACAAGAACACCAATATTGTCGATCCCTAACTATATTGACGGGTAATAAAGAAGTTACCCAAAAACGAAAATATTTCTCCTTCATCGTATGCCAATATTGCCCTCGGTGAATGAGCAGGTTGGTTATGATGAACAAACTCCTGAACAAGTGCAACGACCACAATGAAATCATTATTAGTAATCATTACTAAATCATTAGTATCAAATCATTTCTTATTTTTAAATTAATAATAATTATTAAATCATTATTAGTAATCATTATTAAATCATTAGTTTGAAATCATTAAATTTTTTTAAATTAAAAAATTCAACCGTTGGAAAACAACGATATCGATACTGTCAAATGAGTTTTTGACTCGATTAAAGTTCGAAACCTTTAGTAAAAATTATTTCAAAAAAATTGCCATTATAGATCTCAATTTTTCATTTTAGTA